CTCGTTGGTACATGGGATCTGGTCGAATAAAGGTGATAGTGCTGAGGAGCGTGATCCCCTCCTTTCTATGTGTATATACTCGTTTGAGGAAGAATCCAAGTAGGGCATGTGCGGACTGGACTGAGGGCTGGGGTATGTGACTCCACCGAAGCAATTGGGTGGGAAGCGGCGAGTTGCATAACACAGTGGTACATAGGGAAGCTGGGTACTTATGACTAAGGGATGCTACGCTCAGCAGCTGATTAATTCTGCCATGACAATATGACAGCACTGTAGTTTGTTGATACGTACGACGTGTAGTGTGCAGCTTTCTGTAGGATAGATTGTTTTTTTTTCTACTGAATAAAGCCGGCTTCTCCGTTGGGTGAATTGAACCTTGTCTATTCTTCTGAATTCTGCTGTGGGAAGCTAGCGATGCTGTTGGCATATTGATGGTCACGCAACAGCTTCTTACTAGGACACATTTGTTTTCTGTAGGAATACACATGTTTTGCTGTCTGAGTTTCAATGGCGTTGGCAGATGAGTAACTGCTGGGCCATGGCCTCCGTAGGATTATGCTAGTGGTGAAGTTGGTCCAAGTCGGATGTCTGTTTTCTTTCGGATTTAAGTGGGACACGACCATCTTCACCCGAATAGAATGCTGGGTCATTCCTGCTGCATCTGGACGGAAAGTTGCCCCAAATACGGCCATAATGACCGGGCGACGTTCTATTCTGGTGAAGACACTAGGGTTGAGAGTGCAGGACATGGACATTACAGTCTTCCCCGGAATAGGATGTAAGGTCATTATTGTTGTATGTAAACTGAAAGTTGCAGCAAGTCAGCTATACCGACTGTACGATGTATGTTCTATGCGGGGAAAGACGGTACGGGTTAGGGTTTGGACACTAGGGTTTAGGGTGTAGACAGTAGGGTTGAGGGCTTAGGACTTAGACACCAGGGTTTAAGCTATATATACGGGAGTTTATGGTTTGGGGTTTAGGCACTAGGTTTGAGGGCTTAGGATTTAGACACTAGGGCCTTAGGGTTCAGTGTTTGGAGTTTAGACACTAGAGCTGAAGGCTTATATGATTTAGACACTAGTCTTTAGGGTTTCAGGTGTAGGGTCCAGGTTTTAGGGTTTAGGCTTGCGGCTCTAGGAGCTCGGGGTTTAAATAGCAGGAAATTAGGGTTTAGGATTTAGACAGTAGGAGTTTAGGGTTTGGAGTTTAGAGACCAGGGGGTCTAAGGAGTTTGGGGTTTAGACACTAGGGTAAGGGTTTCTGATTTGTAGTTTATATACTAGGAGTTTAGGGTTAGGGATTGAGACAATAAGAATTTAGGGTATAGGGTATAGGGTTTAGACCATGGTTGTTAACCGGACGTTGGATCGGGATCCGGATGGTCCGGTCTGGATGTGTGGATCTGATGTCCGGCTTGGGGGGTCCGGTTGGGCCCCATTTCTAGAAAATTCGAAAAAAATAATTGGGGTCCCCAGGCGATTTTCCAGTGCCTGGTGGACCCCCAAAAATTGTTGGTGCAGTTTTTGGTGGCTGTTGGGCCAACCGGACAGCCTGTACTTGCAATCTTGGGTGAGCTTCAGTGGGCCAAGGAGAACTGGTTGTTGGAGCCCGCCGGCGGGAAGAGGCCATTTCAAACTTTGTGGCTCCTGTTGCAGCCGTCCACCCTACGCACAATGGAAGGCCGTGGAGGAGTATCAGGTGCAATGGAGGAAAGTGGTGGGGCGGACGAGAATGCAGCGGAGGAGAAATACTCATTCTGATGAACATCCTCTTTATTGCGGAAAGCGACGCAAACAATGACACTAATAAGGGAGAGTGGGGGCTGGACGGGTGTGCGGCAGTGTGTTAAACCGGACCGGTAGATCTGTTTCTCGAATGTCAGGTTGTTAAACTTTGATTTGTTAAACTTGTTTGTGATGCGAGTTCTCTGAGCGGTTGAAGATTTTATGTTGTCTATTTCAGTTTTGAAATTTATTTGACAATTTGTGCAGTCCTGTGTGCATGTGTGTGTGTGTGTGTGTGTGTGTCCGTGCGACAGTGTGTGTGTATGTGAGTGTGTTCAAGATAGGTAATACAACCACAACAGCATGTGTCTGTTTTTTTTTTTTTTTTTGATCCGGACATCTGGACCTGTTCACTCATAACCGGACCGTCGAGGTCCGTTTGTCCGGTTGTTCGGATCGATGTCCGGATTACCGGACGTCTGGATTAATCCAGGCACGGGTCCGGGCCCGGTGTCCAGTGTCTGGATGTCCGGGTCCGGGGCAACCATGGCTTAGACATTAGGGTTTGCAGTTTGAACACTTGGAGAACAGGGTTTGGACACTAGCAGTTTAGGGTTTGAAGTTTAAACTTTAAACAAACCCTACCTTCTCAGCCCGAAAAGAACGTACGCACCTTGTATACGAGTAGAACGTACGGGGTACATTAACATAGGTTTGAAATTTGAATCCTATTGGGCGTAATGAGAAAAGGGGTTCGTTCAAGTCATTTGTTTTGTAAAAGGAGATCACTTTGACCTCTCTATTGACTCAAGGAAGAATATATGTATACATATAAATAGAAAAAAATCTAAAATAGACAACAATGTAGATATACAACAATGTAGAACGTTATATAACGAATTTTAGGGTAGAACTTTTCAGAAGCCTGTACTACCTCCATTGTGTTGTTTTTGTTTTCTCTAATTTGGTCGTGAATTTCACCAAGACCCTCAGGCATGTCCCTGCCCTAAAAAATATTTTTGTAATCAGTAAACAGAGTTTTATGAGGGAATTTTAGAACGTTATGAATATGTTTGAAAGTCGAAATTCTGAAAAAAATCAGTAAACAGAATGTCCCTGCCGTAAAAAGTATTTTTATCCTCCTTATTTTTTTCTCGAATCTGGTTGTAAATTTTGACACCACCCTCAGGCAAAAGTTGTTTGTATTGCATTGTTGGTTGGTTTTCCTCTGTGTGTTTCATGCTCATGTCTTTTCTCGGACTCCCATCGGTGTATTTCATAAGGGACGCTGAGCCTGGTTCCGAGCACGTGTTGCTCCCCACGAATAGATCGGAGTGTGTACCAGTAATTTGTTTTTTTTTTAATTTTATTTTTTTGTTGTACAGCATTCTTTTTTTCGGACTTTTCTGAGTATTTTTGGAAAAATCCAACTTCCAAAAATTTGAATACAGCATATGTACGTTGTATTTGAATACAACATACGTGTGTGGTATTTGAATACAACGTACGTACGTTACATTTGAACGTACGTTCTATTCGGGAAAAAGTTCGAAAAACAAGCGATTTCTGAAGACCCGATTTCCAGAGGTAATTCAAATAGAATGTACGTATGTTTTTTTTGGGCTAAGGAGGTAGGAGTTTAGGGTTTAGACACCAGGTTTTCAGGCTTAGGGGTCCACAAGGGTTTTGGGTTTAGGGTTCAGACACTTAGGTTTAGGGTTAAGGGTTGTACTGAACCGAACTAAGGGAAAAAAAGGGCGGACACAACTAAGATAATGAGGTGAGGAGCAGAGCAGGTCAATCAGAACCAGGGCATACAACCGTTAAGTTGCGGCGTTAACCCTAAAGGCGATAGGTCCCACAAGGTAAAAGAGGGCGTACAACCCTTAACCTGAAAGGCAGCTAAGATAGTGAGGTGGGGTAAAAGAGGGCATACAACCCTTAACCCAAAAGGCGATAGGTCCCACAAGGTAAAAGAGGGCGTACAACCGTTAACCCTGAAGGCAACTAAGATAGTGAGGTGGGGTAAAAGAGGGCATACAACCCTTCACCCTAAATGCAACTCATCTTTAACCCTTAGGCGACAAGTGTTTTGAGGGTAAGAGTGAGAGTGCAGGTGATAGGTCCCACAAGGCTGAGCATAAGAGGGTACAACATGACCGACCATCATATGCACAAATAATTGAAATAAATGTCTTTCTAGCATACTTGCAGGCGGACGCCGTCCGGGCGCTGTCTCTTATACACATCTAGATGTGTATAAGAGACATAATTGAAATAAATGTCTTTCTAGCATACTTGCAGGCGGACGCCGTCCGGGCGGTTCCGCACGTGCGGCAGACCGCCGGACCGGACCCGCGCGGCGCACGAATGTGCGCCCGACTACCAGTTACGGCCCCCCCCCCCAAAAAAAAAAAGCGCCCCCGTCCGGTCCGGTCCGGGGGGAGGGTGCCGCACGTGGCAAAGCGGACCGGACCGGATGCTCGTCCGGTCCGTCTGCTTGCAAGTATGCTTTCTAGACTTGTTGGATGCGAATAATTAGCAAATTAGTTCAAGAAAAACAAAAAAAGGGTGCTGTTTGCAAAGGTATGCCTTGAATTAACATGAAACTGGAAAAACTAGAGTCGGCTAGGTTGTTATTCCGTGCGCCCGGGCACAGATGTCATGCCCGTACACACGCCCAGCCTCCTGGCCGGGCAGGAGCCCCAGGCAATGAAACCGCCAGGTGGCGGGTTTTTTGGTGAGGTGAGGCTCACTTCTTGCTGCTGTAATATTATAGATATCTGGAACATATGATTTTGTGTGCTCGACATCTAGCTTATCCTGATGGTCATCTGTGTCCAGACGTCCCGGTTGGGATCTGGGCAAGCCAGGGCGTGACAGATTTCTAAACACAACGTATACAATAGCAAGACAAGATGGTGGGTTGACGTGAGACATGATGCTGTTCTTTTCTTTCCTGTCCTCCCCCTCCCCTTCCCCCCCCCCACCCCCCCCTGATAATATGAATGAGCTACGATCAAGTTGGAAAAAAGGAGTGATGAAAAGAGAAAGACAGAAAGGTCCTTTTGGGACATCCATTAAAATTAAAAGAAGTGACAGAAGATTAGCATGGCCCCTGCACCAAAAAAGGGGAAAAAAAGAAGAAAAAGGAAAAAAGAGGAAACGAAAAGAAAGAAAGAAAGAGAGAAAGAAAGAGAGAAAGAAAGAAAGGAGTAAAACAAACAATAAAATGATATTCATTGTTCAGTATGTTTACTCTTGTGGTTTGTCATTTTCTGTTTTTTTTTTTTTTTTTCCCCTCTGTCCTTTCTCGCTCAGGCCCTATGCTTGAAAAGATGGAAAAGTGTGGAAGACAGGAGGACCTTATGCAGTAAGCTATAGCTCATCCTCTCCAACTCAAAATTAAATAAAAGAGTATATGACACTATAATGTTTGCCCCTCGCTGTGACTATATGTATTTAGCTAGGCTACCACTGCCCCGGTCACCTTGTTTGCCCAGGCGGCCCGGCTGTGCAAGGACCAAAGAAGGTCTCAGCAAAAGAAAAACAAAAACAGAAAACCAAAAAATCTGAAAAAAGTTCAAAAAAGTTGAAAAAACAATGTTATGCAGAAAAATAAACTGAACAACTTTTCCCTCAGGGTGACATCGAAATTCTTTCCCAAATTAAAAAAAACAATTTTTTATTTTTTTGCCCCGGTCGGGCAAGTGGTCCAGGGCCACTCAGGTAGCCTTTAGGAAAAAAAAAACTTGCTAAGTGTTAAGCTAAGATATCCTGCTCATGGGTCTACTCCATGGCCTCTACAACACCCTGGGCTATATATAAGGAAAAAAAGAGGATTTCCTTCTCGAGAACTGGTTAAGTGTTTTTTGTTCGGAAATTCTTTTGGGGAAGAAAAAAACCAAAAACTTGAAAAACAAAACATACTTTTATCGACAATTATTTTGGATGAGACTCACCATAACTTTACCCTCCTAAACCCCCGCACCCTCCCCCCTCCTCCTCCTCTAACCCCCTCGAAACCCTGTAAGGATCCTTGAACCGCCGATGTGCTTTTCATAAAGCAAAGAGTCGAAGACATATTTGCATGGTAACCCCGGACCCGGATCCGGACATATCACCGGACACCGGGCACCGGACAGTCCGGACCGGTCCCCGGGGTGCAAAAAT